CCAGGTGATTTTAATTTTGTTTAATTTTAATTTTCAACTTAATTCAAATTCTCTCTTCAAAAAAAAAGAAAAGAGAAAAACAGTAACACAAAATTGACCAATAAAACATATGTATCTCATAACAACTTAACATTTCACATTCATGAAGGCAAGCAGGTAACACGTTGGATTAAGCCACTGCCTAGAATCAGAAACCCTGAGTTCAAATCTATCCTCAGACACTTACTAGCTGTATAACATTGGGCAGGTCACTTGACCTCTTTTTGCCTCATTTTCCTCAACTGTAAAATGAAGATCATAATAGGATCACCACAGGGCTGTTGTGAGGATTGAAAAAGATAGCATTTATGAAGTGCTTAGCACAGTGCCTGGCACATAGTAGGTGCTTAATAAATGTTTATTCCTTCTCTCCACCTCTTAAATGAGAAGAGGAAGATCTTCATTATCCAGTCATTACAATTAATCTGAGTTTGCCTGCTTTCTAGAATTGTTTTCATTTACATTATTCTAATCATTGTTCTTAGTTTGGGATACATCAGTTCACACAAGTCTTACCGAGGTCCTATGAATTTTTAATACGTATTGTTTCTTACGGTACAATAATATTCAATGGAATATCTGCATACCGCAGTTTGTTCAGTCATTCCCCAATCAATGCACATCCATTTTGCTTTTTTTTTCCTACCACAAAATGTGCTTCTACAAATATTTTGGTCCATGTTTTCTACATGATCCACAGCTGGATCTCAAGAGATGACAGGTGGAGGAGAAGGATGCTTTTTTGTAGGTCATCCACTGTCATCAGCTATTCTGGCTCAGGGACCAATTAGGAGAGGCTTCACCATCACACAAGACAAGATCCTTATCATGCATGGCCAGAAGTAGGCTTCCTTCTTCCAAGATTCCACATGGTCAATTAAAAGCAGGCATGAAATATCAGCACAGGCTCCAAAGAATGGCCACCACAGGCCAGCTTACCAATTACATTAATACAATGGAATTTCATCCCCCACACACACAGCCTGCACGTAGGCTGGGTTTGCTCTGCCACCTTCTAGTTTCCCGGGCTTTGGTCTATGGATCCTCTCTCTGTCTCTCTGTCTCTCTATCTCTCTATCTCTGTCTCTCTCTGTCTCTCTTTCTCTGTTTCTGTTTCTCTCTCCTGAATTTTATCCAATCATCATTGTTCAGCACTACCTCGTTGGGAGTTGGTACTTCACCCACACATTCTCACAAAATCATTGATTTGTCTCGTCTCACTACAATTTTTTTCTTTCCATCTCTCATCAGTCTTTGACCATACTAGATACTTCATAAATGTTATAAATGTTTGTTGCTTTGGATTGAATCTCACCATTCCTTCCCTACTCTCCCTCGTTTAATTGCAGACTAAGATGCAACCCAGAACATGAATACTTAATTTAAAAAATGCAATCTCCCATTGGTATTTTTTTTAATCCTACTTCCAAAGCTACCCAGACATCTCATTCCTTCATAAAGGCACGCAGCTAGTTAGTTAGGCGGCAGAGATGCTCTTGGGAACAAGGACTGGTTCCTGAGGCCTCCCTGGGGGATAGTTAGAGCCCTGCTCCCCAGAGTCACCGTCAGTAGGAATGAAAGCAGCCCGCATCACCAGGAACATTTAGAAACTTCATCCTGAGCCGTTTCTCCAGTGAAGCCTCTCCCTCTGTCCTCTCCTTCATCTTCTCCTTCCTGCTTTCCAGTGGTGGGTGCTTTAACGGATATTTTTGTTTGAATCTGTCTCTGTTGTAATAAGAAAGTAGCAATTAACTATTATAAGGCTGTTTTACAATCGTGCGAAAGCCCCTTTTTATCCACTTTGCTTTAAATGGTTATATCTTTTATCCCTAGTTTTCAGGAATATAAAACTTTACAGCATTTGCTGCAAACCTTCATACTTTGCTCTGCACTTTACTGCTCCCTCTGCAGATATATCTTCCACATAAATAAGACTTTCATCTGTACAGTACTGCACTGGGGCCACAGGAGCTCAGAGTGATTTCATTAATGCAACTCTGCCTCAGAGTACAAAGTGATTCACAGCACCCTTCCCATCCCCCCATGACTTGACTTCTCTCTAGCCTCCTTGTCCTCCACTCAGGTAGCTGGAGAACAAACTCTGGCAGGTGGGAGGCCAGGGACTTTAAGTGATAAGGAATACTAATGTAGAGGACTCCCCTGGGTCCCAGCAGCCCTGACTGCTACATGCTGAGCATCTGAAAGGGAAAATGGTTTGGTAGTGCCCATCCAGGTGTCAGGTAACTCTCCCAGAGTTAATTAGCAGTCCCTAATTAGCCAATTGCATTCACAGATTTACTTTCGGCTTTGGGAACCACCCTAAACAAGGCACTAGGGGGCAAAGTTAAAGCCCAGTTCAGGATTGGTCCCTGTACATGACATTTTCAGAGCTGCCAGCCAGAGAGGGATGTGTCAACAAAGAAACACATATGAAGCCATGGAAGAAACCTACAGACAATATCATGGGTGATGCAGAAAAAATGGACAAATAGGTTAGACGCTTCATTTATAGATAGAAAAACATAAGCAAAAAAATTATTAGACTATGCATGCCCTTTATCTCAGCAATACTACTTCTAGGCCTATGCCCCAAAAAGACAAAGAAAAAAAGGGGCTCATATTTATAAATACGCACACACACACACACATACATATATATCAGTTCTTCTTGTGGTAACAAAGAAATGGAAGCTCGAGGGTGCTCATCAGTTGGGGAATGACTAAACAAATCATGGGATATAAATGTAATGGAATACTATTATGGAATTATGAAAGGGACAGTTCCAGAGAAATTGCCTTCCTGGGAACTGGAGTCAGGAAGACCTGAGTTCAAATCTGGCTTCAGATACTTACTTAACCTCTGGATTC